AGGGTATCTCAGTTATTATGAAAGATAGAAAGTTGCGGCTTTCGCGAACCTGAGCTACTTTTTTGTGAAACTTACAATGGCGCAAACCAAATTTTCATAGCCCTCTTCGTTTTTGATATACAGGGAGTGTTTGACATTTACGATTTTCAGACACCTCCTGTATCTCGGCTATCCGGAAACTTAGTAAGAAAGTAAAAACGGGTTCTAATAGATTTTTTCACGTGGAATCCAATGGTGCACGTAGAATTTTTCTAGTCATCACGGTTTTTGAGTTATAAACAACTCAAATACTGAATACTGAACTTCTAAAATACTTAACTCTTTATAACTCAAAAACCGTGATGACTAGAAAAATTCTACGTGCACCATTGGATTCTGCGTGAAAAAATCTGTTAGAACCATTGTAAGTTTCACAAAAAAGTAGCTCAGGTTCGCGAAAGCCGCAACTTTCTATCTTTCATAATAACTGAGATACCCTGCAAACCCATCGAAATTTGGACACTCTGTACACATTTTGACAGAATTTGAACTTAGACTTACAGTTTCTTATAACAAAGTTATTCGTAGTGTTAAGTTAACTAATATCAATAAATTTAATAAACTTCAAAATCACTGTAAATTTGAAAAAATAGTGAGGAATAATGATGGTTGGTTTGTTAATAACAGTGATGTGGAGGTTCCTGTTGTAGTTAAAGATTTTTTTATCTTTGGGTCCGCAGTTTGGGATTATTCCAGACTCGACTTCTGTCTCAGTTCCTAAATTAATAGCTGATATTGAGAATGTAATTAGAATTGCACCACGTAATGAACTGAATGTAAAAAGAGCTAGATGTACGAATATTCTGACTAATTTTTTAAGAAAAAAAGATCAAATTAATGTAGTTAAAGCATTAATTAGTAAAGCTTATTGTGTTACAAAAACCTTTCTGAAAACTGAAAGAGAAGACCCTTTGTTAATTTTAAAAGCTGATAAGGGCCAGGTAACCGTGGCGATGAATCGGTCAGAATATGTGCGGAAGTCGTTAAGTCTGTTCAATGATCAATCAACTTATGTGGTTCTCCCACGAGATCCTACTACTACCATTCAAAACAAAAATAATAAATTTTCAAAGTTGTTACTTGAAAGGGATTACATTGAGAAACCTATTTACAACAGGTTAATTTGCCACAACGGTATTATGAAATAATAATTGGAATTAATATAAACGTGTATGTAACATATAAATGAAACACAACCAGAAGGAAGGATACCTTTACAGGGATCCGGGTCCCGGCGCTGCTAATTTTTCCTTTATGTTATTCCTGTCTTTAACGTGTAAAGGTATCCTTCCTTCTGGTCGTGTTTCACTTACAACGGTATTAGTCCTAAATACTACGGCCTTCCAAAGACCCATAAACGAGATTGTCCCTTGAGACCTATTATTTCCTTCGTTGGCTCACCCACGTATAAGTTGTCTAATTTTGTGACTCGTATTCTGACTAAAGCGTTCAGAGAGAGAACTTCGTATAACATTAAAGACACTGTCACCTTTGTTGAAGAAATGAAAAGGAGAGCCTTAGCTCCTAATTTTGTGTTAATCTCTTTGTTTACTAATATTCCCTTATCATTAGCAAAACAAATCATAACTGATAATTGGGACATCGTACAACCAGTAACCCAAATCGACAGAGGCCTTTTCATTGAGATAATAACCTTCCTCTTTGAATCTTCTATTTTTTCCTTTGATGGAAAGATTTATAGTCAGAAATTTGGCACCCCTATGGATAGTCCCTTGAGCCCCATCCTCGCCACTATTGTGATGGATTATTTGTTGGATCAATTTATCCCTTCACTTGATTTTACTTTTCCTTTCATTTTTAAGCATGTTGATGATATCATTTGCTCAATTCCATCCGATTTCGTTGACACTGTCCTCAGAGTTTACAATAGCTTTGATCAACACCTTCAGTTTACTGTAGAGACAGAGGTTGGGTCATCAGTCCCCTTTCTTGATACCAGGGTTATACGTGAACCCAACCAAAACATCATTTTGAATTGGTACACTAAACCCACTTACTCTGGGAGATACATTAACTATCATTCCAACCATCCTATTAATCAAAAAATCAATGTTATCGTCGCAATGTGTAACAGAGTAAAGCTGATCTCTAATGAACGGTTCATTAAAGAAAACCTAAAAAGACTTCATAATACTTTCTTAGACAACGGTTATCCTCATGGTCTCTTGGTTGGTATATTCAATCATATCAATAATTTTCATTCATCTACTGTTAATATCAATAATGCAGACAAATCTAACGGTTCTTAAGAAAACCTCTCAAGTGTTCCTAATTTTAGATATGTAAAGATCCCCTTCGTTCCTAACTTAACACCTCAGTTGATGTCTGTTCTGGAGGCTGACTTTATAAAATTTGCAAAATTCAATGGTAGACCTCTTTCTTGTTTGATCTCTAAAACTAAGGATCCTGTTCCCCTTCTAGCCCAGTCTCACGTAATTTACAGAATACCTTGTAATAATTGCAATTATCGCGTATCATAAGTCTACCGGACTCACATTATTCGACGGTTCGGGAATAAAACGCCAACAACGTTTTATTCTAATAAAAGCACGTTATTATAATCACTCGAACTCGATACATGAGCCATACATGAGCCGAGTAAACGCAATACATAACGGTGTTCTAAACGCTACTAAAAACAACGTACAATTGGCAGTCTCAAGATAAATTCAATGCTAATGAAACATCTCTTTTTCTAAAGACATTACTGTTTAAAAAAATTTTTTGCATTTTAACTTTGTTAATATTTTTTTAAAATTTTTTTGTTTTGTATTTCATTTTTGAAAATTGTTGTGGAGCGCCTCTGTTGGGTGACTGGTGTAAATGTTCAAATCAAGTTTTTGTGGTTTTTATTTTCAACGTTTTACTTAGTTGTAACATTTAATTTCTTCAAAGTCACAGCCATTTTGGTTTATAAACAATTTTAACGGTTTCTGTTTTACTTTGGAGTTAGAGATTAACTTAAAGTTGGTTCACTGTAAAAAAAATATCCGTTTTTTACGCTTTTAGAGGTGATTGAATGCCTCTGTTGCTTGAGCTCATAAAATCGCTTTCCATTTGTAAGTAGATTAATTTATTTTTAGAAGACTTTAGTAGAAACTAATATTTTCCGCTGACTTGTATGTCTTTCCACACTCGCTTTCGGCTCGTGCGGAAATCCGACATACGTGGTAATGAAAAATCATAGTTTCCTCACTTGTACTGTAATATACTATTCTCAAACTTTTTTCAATTTCTCTTTATGTATTTCGACCACTTATCATAAACTAGAATCTTTTAGCTTTATTTTAAGGTATAAATCATTTTACCAATCCAATAAATACCCCCGCTGAAATTTTTTCAATTTTACATTTTTTGACATATTGGAATATATATTTCGTCCCAACACCTTCTATGTAAACCAATTTTCCCAAACGTTTTTCAAATTCTCTCTACCTATTTCGATGACTTATCATAAACTAGAATCTTTTAGCTTTATTTCAAGATATAAATCATTTTACCACTCCAATAATTTTCAAATTTATAGTTGATTATTGAATTTCTTTTTTGGTGTTTAGGAAGTAGATGGAAAATCAAAAATTTAACCTACACAATCTCCAAATATCCCACAAACTTTGATAAATCCGAAGTGGACAACGAGCTACAAAAAGCTTTTACCGTTTGGTCCGAGTACACAGACCTAACATTTAAGCAGGTAAAAACCGGAAAAGTTAACATCGAAATCAAATTCATTAAAGGCGAACACGGAGACGGTGATCCTTTCGATGGCCCCGGAGGAACTTTGGCACACTCATATTTTCCAGTAAGAAAATCGTTCTCAAATAAGCCATTATAATATTATATTAATAATTTTAATAAGGTTTATGGAGGTGACATTCACTTCGACGATGATGAACATTGGACCATAAATAAACACCATGGAACTAACATTTTACAAGTAGCAGCCCACGAAATCGGCCATGCTTTGGGTTTACTCCACACTGATGTAAAACAAGCTTTAATGGCACCATTTTATCGAGGATATCAACCTTATTTTGAGTTACATAGGGATGATATCTTGGGAATTCAAAAATTGTATGGGAATAAAACCACCATTTTAATCGATAAGAATAATGAAGAAGATTTAAATATTAATACAGAAGATCAGATTTTATGCAAATCGTCCAAAATTGATGCTATCTTTTTAAGCACCACAAAAGGAAAAATTTACGTGTTTAAGGGGGATCAATATTGGAGTTTGACCGATCATAAAATAGATCGTGGATACCCGAAATTAATCGCGAATCGTTGGCCGGGATTACCTGGTAATATCGATTCAGCTTTTACCCATAAAAATGGAAAGACTTACTTTTTTAAGGGTAAGAAATATTGGAAGTATTCTGGAAGAAGAATGGATGGGGATTATCCAAAAGATATTTCAGCTGGATTTCCTGGAATTCCCCATAATATTGATGCTGTTATGGTTTGGAGTGGAAATGCAAAAACTTACTTTTTCAAAGGGGATCAATTTTGGTGTTTTGATCCAACGCAACGACCCCCAGTAAAAAATACGTATCCAAGACCCATTTCAAAATGGAAAGGAATACCAAATAACCTCGACGGTGCTTTTCAATATTCAAATGGATACACTTACTTTTATAAAGACGGTGCTTACTATAGATTTAATGATCGCAATTTTGCCGTGGATGTGGGTAATCCAGCTTTTCCCAGATCTATGGCATATTATTGGTTTGGGTGTCAGTCAGCACCCAGAGAAACCATTCGCATATCTTAGTTTAGATAATATTTAACAGTATTTTTAATAACATACATATCATCAACCAACATTGTTCAAAATGATGAACACATTTCTCCGTGCTATAACTTATTTGTGAATATATTCTTGAAATGTTTATTTAAAAGGTATTGATAAGTTTCTCAGTTATGTAAAAAAAAAATTAATAAAATCTAAAAATTAAACTCACTTTATGTTATTATTTAGTTCAAAAATATGTTTAGTTACTTTAAACTATGTTAGCTCCCTGAAAGTAACTGGTAATTTTTATTGAGTCAAGTAGTATTATTTAAAAGACAAGTAAGTTAAAAGTTCCTCTATGAAGATATTTACTCTCAAATCGCCGAGGTCGCTTGACGGTGAAGACCTAAATGCTCCAAATCTATCGATTTCGTGTTGTTACATTTCTTGTACTGCTAATATTTTCTGTACTTCATCCTTCTTTTTTGTTATTATCAACACCCTTGTCTATCCAATCTTCATATAACTTCGCCTTATCGATTTTGTGCTTTTCGTTCTGTCTCTTTTCCTGTTCTTTTTCTAAATTTCTTTCTTCCATCACCGTTTTATATTCATATTCTTTATTTATCTGCTGAAAAAACAATCAGTCTTACAAAAAAGGCTTACATCTAACACAAAAAACAGTACTAGCACTAATCGAATGTGTCCAATTCATTACAATTTAAATATTCATCTATATTATAGAAACATTTTACAAGTAATAGGCTTTTTACATATATGTGAAACTTCTTAGGAGTTAGATCTTTGACATGTTGTGGCAATTTATTATACATCCTCGTACCCTGGAAATCTACTCCCTGCTGCGTTAATTTGAGTCTATGTGATGGCAATTCAAAAAACTATTTATGACGTGTGTCGTAGCAATGTAATTGAGAGTTTGTCCTGAATTCGCTTTTGTTATTATGAACGTAATTTAGACACATTAATATGTAGTTAGATGGCACTGTTAGTATCTTGTGTTTTTTAAAAGATGATTTACAACTCACGATGGAAGGGTCTAACACTGGGTCGATGGGAAGGAACGATGGGTCTAACGCTTGAATACAGCGCTTTTGCAAACGGAAAACCCTCTTTAATCCAGTAGCCGACTCCCAGGCCAGAACACCGTACCCAGCCACCGCATGAAAACACGAAAAGTACGCCACTCTAGCAGCCTCAAGACCCGCACAACGCCTCAACTGAAGCACCAGATACACCACACTAACAAGACGATTGCAGATGTATTCGATATGAGGACCCCATCTCAATGACGAGTCCACGTAATGTCCGAGAAAACGGATCATACTCCTTTTTTTTGAGAAGAAATCCAGGGACTGTATTTTTTTGTTATTTAGTAGGAGCTTATTTGCGCTCATCCAGTCCGCAGCAGAGTCCAAAACTTCCCTGCTCCTCAACTCCACCGTCCGTGATGTGTTGCTTCGAACCACAAAAGACGTATAGTCGCCGTATAAAGATGTAGTGACCCCCGTCATGCAATCCGGCAGATCATTCAGGTAGATCGTGAAAAGTAAGGGACCAAGGAGTGACCTCTGGGCAACACCACATAAATACTTCCTTCCGTCTGACAATTTCCCCTTCCAATGAACCATCTGGTATCTTTGAGAAAGGTATGACTCAATAAGTTTTAATTGGTTACCTCTAACACCGTAGAATTCTAACTTGTTTAGCAGTATACCATGGTCCACGATGTCGAACGCTCTGCTCAGATCACAACAGATCATTTTGAATTCGGACGGTCAAAGTGAGTGCACGTGTTCTAAACAAGTATCGCGAGTCTCATAACCAGTTTCGTTTCACAAAATCAATCATGTTTACAATTTCATATATTATTAATCTAACAAAATAATAAATCATCGAAAGCAATATATTTAAGGAAAGCCGCCTGCGGGCGTGTTTTCGACCGAATCTAGTATGGGCGAAAAACGAGGATCCGATCAGTTATCACCTCTAGAAGATGACATTCATAAACGATATTCTTTTAATCCAGATCTCTTAGCGCAAAATAGATTCCATGTTCTTGCTAGTGAAGACAACAGTGATGATATTAATGACAACTCTTTGGAAAATAAGTCCCAAAAAGGCCCTAAAGTACCTCCTATCTTTCTACATAACAAATCAAACCATAAAGAAATTATCAATGATATTAAAGCGTTAACCACTGAAAAATTTACAACTATTGTCAAAAATAATTCACTAAAAATCAACCTTACGTCTATAAACGATTATAGAACTTTAACTAAGTATTATACAGAGCAAAAACTTGAATTTCACACTTTTCAGGATCCAACAAAGAGAACTTTAGCCGTAGTGTTGCGTAATGTTCCTATATCTCTAACAGACATTGAAATAAAAGATGAATTGACTACTTATTCATTACCTATAATTAGTGTTACAAGACTATTAAATAAAGTTAAACTTCCGATGCCATTATGTGCGGTTGAATTGACTCCCAACGAAAAAGCCAAAGACATTTTTAATATCAAAGAAATATGTAATGCTTTAATTACAGTAGAGCCGAGGAAAAAATATCAAATTATACCGCAGTACTTTAAATGTCAACGTTTTGGTCATACTAAAAATTATTGCTCACTAAAACCCAAATGTGTAAAATGCGGTGATGAGCATAATCATAAGGATTGTAAAAAGAAAAAGAGCGATCCCCCGAAATGCGCAAATTGCCAGCCAATTACAGAGGTTGTCGCGCTCACACTGAACTACAACAACTACACCCACGTCAGATGAGAAGAGCTACCACTAACTCAATTCATAGATCCACTTTCCGAACATCAGATCCTAATGTGTCATTTGCCAACATAATCCAAAAAAATTTACCATCCCAAAACACCGGTACTCCAAATCCACCTCCTAAAATTATATATAATATTATCCATACAGAGACGATCATCTACCTGACATACTGGATATAGTTATCACCAAAAACTTTAATCTTCCCTTAGCTCAAACGGTCATAGAGGAATTGAATTCTGATCATCTCCCGGTTATTATCACGGTCGAAAAAGAAATTACCTTTAAACCGCCTATTCCTAAATTGATAAATGGAATTGTAGATTGGGAGGCCTTTGAATCAGAGATGAGCAGTATTAATTTACATAATTCATTTTTACATCCTACCTCAATAGATAGGTCAATCTCATTACTTACTTCGACAATCAAAGAAGAAACCTAACAAAACTATTCGAACGAATTATTATTTACCACCCAAATATATTCTCGACCTAATCAAAGAAAAAAGAGGGGTCAGACGTAATTGGCAAAGAACACGTGATCCCGACTTAAAGCAGAAATTAAATAAACTGACTCATACCATTACTAAAGCTTTAGAATCCGATCGGATTGCTAATTATCAGAATCTTCTAAGCAATATGGATAATAAAGATCCGGGAATGTGGATAACAACAAAAAAAATACTGAGAAGACACGAAGAAATTCCTACAATTACTCATAACGGGAATCAGTTCTCTACTGATGAAGGAAAAACCCAAGCCTTTGCTGATTATCTTGAGTTAACATTTACTCCTCACATACCTCGAGAAAGCAGGTCTTCTTCTGTTACTATTCAAGCATACAATGAAACTCATCTTCCGCGAATAGAAAGAGTAGATGAAGAAGTAACAAATGAAGAAATCACATATTTAATTAACAATCTACCTGATAGAAACGCCCCAGGGCATGACCTTATACCAAATCTAATTCTAAAACACCTCCCTTCGAATATTACTAGCCACTTAACTGATATCTTTAATTCATGTTTAAAAATTGGTTACTTTCCGGTGACTTGGAAAAAAGCTGAGATACTTATGTTTCCCAAGCCAGGAAAACAGAGCACTATAAGCTTCTTACCGACTCTCTCAAAATTGTTTGAAAAAGTTATAATACGAAGACTTCAAGATCAGCTGCTGGAAAGAAATGTTATCCCAAACATACAGTTTGGTTTTCGAACGGGTCATTCAGCGATCCACCAGTTGGTGCGTGTTACAGAATTCATTGAGAAAGGTTTTGAAAATAAGCAATACACCACTATCGCCTTTTTAGATGTAGCTAAAGCCATTGACGCCTTTGGCCTACAGTTTGGACGGAGGGATTAAAATTCAAACTATTGCATCTAGGTCTAGATGACTATATTACCGCAATACTTATGTCATATCTTCAAGAACGAACTTTTTGTGTGAGAATAAATGGGACCTATTCAGATACAAGATGTATTAGAGCAGGAGTTCCTCAAGGAGGTATATTGTCACCAACCTTATTTAATATATTTATGCATGATATACCGTGTCAAAGATGCAATGAAAAAGCTTTGTTTGCTGACGATATGTTGATTATGACCCAAAGTAGTGATTTGGAGGAAGCTATACAACAGCTACAAGATGCTATTAACGACGTGCAGCAATGGCTTACTAAATGGTCCTTACACCTGAATGAAGACAAATGTGAATCAAAGATCTTTACGTTACGGCGTTACCGAAATCCAACACGTATAGTAATCAATAACACAGAACTTCATTGGAATCCTAAAGACAAAGCTGTCAAATACTTAGGCCTGCATCTTGATCAACGATTAAATTGGGGTATTCACGTAAACAACAGATTGAATTTGGGATATGCTCGATTAAAACAACTATTTCCTCTAATAAATAGAAGAAGTCATCTGAAAACTAAATGCACTATGTTGCTATATAAAGCTTTAATAAGATCTTTGGTCACCTATGCTTGCCCGGTATGGCGTAATGCTTCAGCAACAAATATCCGAAAATTACAAGCTCTACAAAACAAAATTCTACGGACGGCAGTAGATGCGCCATGGTTTATTCGCAATGAACACCTTCACGCTGAACTAAACATAATGACTATTGAAAGTTTTATAAGAGGTGTAACTAAAAAATTTTACGAAAACATCAATAAGTGTTCCAGTGCTAGTAACTTTAATTTGGGTATCAAAAATTTACATCAGCGACTTAAAAGGAAAATGCCTCAAGACTTATTGTAAATTAAGCTCAAACTAGATTCCCTCGGAAAGTTACTTTGTTCCTTAGTGAATTTAGACTTTATGTTAATGTATATATGAATTCAACCATGATGTAACATGTTTTAATGTATGTTGAGCTGGTTTTAATCATTTTAACTTTTTGGAAACCATCAATGATGTCTCTTGTTATGTTCATAATAGCCGTCGTTGTAGATCTTTTTGATCTGTATCCATGTTGACTTTCAGTTATTATGTCATTCCTATTTAAGTAGATTGAGAGCCTTCGCTTGATTAGTTCCTCAAAAACCTTTGAAAAAACCGGCAACAAGGCTATAGGTCTGTAATTATCGTACTCATTGTCAACTCCCTTCTTAAAAACTGGAGCAATTTTAGCCCATTTTAATTTATTTGGAAAAATTCCCTGCTCGAAACATTTGTTTATCAAGGCCGTTAAAATCGGGGCCAAACGGTAAAAAGGAGTTGCAGTGAAATCGATAAAAATGGCGTTGGTAGGAAATATTGAACCATTTAAGTATGGGTCGGACTTCGACGATTACATTGAGCGAATGGAATCATTTTTCTTGTGTAATGGAGTGGACGACAAACGGAAGGTACATCTTTTTATAACCTTAATCGGACCAGAGATGTATAAACTTTTAAAAGATTTGTGTGCACCAGCACTACCTTCTAGTAAATCATACGACGAGTTAGTAAAGATATTAAAAAGTCACCTTTCACCTAAGAAAATCGTAATAGCGGAGACCTTTAATTTTTACAACGTAAATCAAGGTAGTCTCAGTGCTGGGGAATACATTGTGAAACTTAGAAATACTGCCAATACTTGTGAATTTGGAACGTTTCTAGAACGTGCGTTACGAGATGTTATCTCAAAAATGTAAAATTGTTACCTACTAAAAATAAATTAGAAGATGCAGGTGGTAAGCGATTGAATGTGTTAGGAAAGTTGTTTGTAGATCCTATAGTGAATAAAACAAAATATGTGAATTTGCAATTAGTCGTAATCGAAGATAAACCGCAAACCGTGTTGTTAGGTCGTGACTAAGTATATCAAGTAAAAGACTTAGGATTAGATTTAAGAACTACTACTGATATATTAAACAAATATTCAAATGTATGTACCAAAAATAGATCACAAAGTATCAAGGGTTTTAGATTAGACATCAAAGTAAAAAACGGTTCCGTAAAAAAGTCTCGGACGGCAAGTACTTCAGTATATTAGATTTGTCGCAAGCGTACTGACAATGTGAAGTTTCATCGGATAGTCGAAAATTCCTTACGGTCAATACTCATAAAGGTTTGTTTAATTATAAAAGATTACCTTTTGGCATATAATTATTTACGAAAGTACTTACGACGAGTCATTACATTATGTGGAAAAAGTTATACATAGATTGAGTAAACATAACAATCGTATCAATTTAGATAAATGTCAATCTCATAAACAGAGTGTTGAATTCTTGGGATATCAATTGTCGGATAAGGGTTTACAACCGATTCAGAGCAAAGTTAAAGCGATAAGTGAAACACCCAGACCTGGTAACTTAACTCAGGTAAGATCATTTTTGGGGATGTTGAACTATTACAGGAAATTTCTTCCTATGGCTTCTGATGTATTGGTACCATTATATGACCTTGAGAAAAAAAAATTCAACCTTTGTTTGGGACAGCAAGTTGCAACAGCATTTCAGGAAGCAAAATGTCTTCTGTTGAGGAGACCTATGCTAGTGCACTATAACCCAAAGTATTCTATAGTAATAACGACAGATGCATCACCTTATGCATGTGGAGCGATCTTGAGTCACATTATTGAGGGAATCGAACGACCGGTGATGTTTGCATCATCAACATTTACAGCATGCCAACGAAATTACGCACAGATTAAACGTGAGGCATTGGCGATTGTATTTGCAGTAAAAAAAATTCATAATTACATATATGGTGGTATTCAAGCGCGTGAACAAGTGAGAGGTGCACGTGTCATATTCGCTGTGTTTGCTGCTTGGTTTTGCTTGGTGAGACTGGCTATTCTGAGGTATATTTGTTACCGAAGTGTGAGTCTATGTTCGTGCTTCACGTTGCCGTAATTAGTAAGTGATTATAGCGGTGAATGCTTGTCTTTATTAAATTTGTTTATTTGCTTTGGTTGGTATTGAGATTATCGTAGCGATTTCATTGCTCGGTAAGAAACAGGATTGATTTGCTATCGCACTCTGGGTGGTGTATTGTCTCCTTCGATCTACTCCTGACTCTCTCTTTATCCTTTTTCCTTCTCCGGGGCCTGCCTTTCTGTGTTGTCAGTCACCGTAACGGGCACTACAGGTGTGAAGAGTGTTATCCCTTCTCCTTCCTTTTAGATCGTCGTGGACATACGCCTGATGGATAAATGTGCCTGTTGTAATCGCCAGTGCGAACAGCATCGCACTGTGAGGTGCTGCGTCTGTAGCAAGATATTTAATATTAGTTGTGTCGATGTCTCTGCGGCTGAGGCGCGCAAGGTTCATGCGGGGAAGGGTCTCTCTTTCTCATGCGTCTCGTGCGTTTCATTGGGGAATGACTTAAACAGTCTGAAAGCCGTTATACTCTCTCTCCAGAAGGATATTGCTGCTCTGAAATCAAATGTTACTCCGCCGTCTTCACATTCTTTAACTGATTTTGATTCTGAAAAAATTATACACGAAGTGATGGAACGCGAGCGTAGGAAGAATAATCTGATGATTTATAATATTCCAGAATCCCACGGTTTATCACGAAAAGAACAAGGTGATGCGGATGTTGCCTTTCTAAGCAAACTATTTACGCATTTGGGGGTTACTGAACCTATTATTCAGCCTTTTCGCTGTGGTAAATTTGACGCTTCTAATACCGCGAGATCTAGGCCTATACGAGTAAAATTATCAGATCATAATTCTTTTAAGCTTATTTTTCGTAATATGCGGAATTTGAAATCTCATAATGAATTTAAGAACATCTCTGTCTCGAATGATCGTACTCCTTTCCAGGTTGATCTTTATAGGAGGGCGAGGACTGAATTAAAAACAAGAACTGAGTCTGGCGAAAAGGATTTGATACTAAAGTACATCCGTGGCATTCCCTCAATTGTCAAGGCTTCGGAAAACTGATTTTGCCCAACAAAATGTGTCAATCTGTTAATGTATACTATCAAAATGTTAATGGTCTTCGTACAAAAACGCGTGAATTTTATGTTAATTGTTCTGATTGTACCTATGATTTGATTGCTCTATCGGAAACTAATTTAAATTCGGATCTTGGATCTAATGAATTATTCGTGGATAAGTACAGAGTCTTACGAGCTGATCGTAAGTTTGATTTGGTTGGACATAACAGAGGTGGTGGAGTTCTGCTTGCTGTAGCTAGTCATCATGATGTTGAGCTGGTTGATTCTATAGACATTCAGGCTTTAGTACCACTTGTCGATGTGTTGATTTGCAAGTGCTCTTTATGGTCTGTGACCTTATATATCGTGGTGTTGTACATACCTCCTGATAATCCGCAACCTGATTTACTATGTTTCTTGGACGCCCTAGAACATAAAGTTTTGAATTATCCTGTCCTTATCCTTGGTGATTTTAATTTGCCTGAATATATTAAGGCGCCTGGTATGTCAACCAAATGTGGAAAAACGGAGTTATTTCGTAACTTTTGTGATTTTCTGGACCTTCGCCAACTCAATCATGTACTGAACTGTGACAATCGTCTATTGGATTTGGTTCTGACAAATACTGACCATCAGTTTGATCTTGTTCATGATGATTGTCCCTTCGTCTACGAGGATCAGTACCATCCTGCCTTAGATATTACAATGAATTTACTGACGGCAAATGATGGTTTGCCGAACTTTCCGTCTTTGGGTGGTCGATATAATTTTCGAAGAGCCAACTTTCCTGGCATGTATGATAAACTACTTTACACGGATTGGTCTTTTCTAAATGTGGAGGTTAATGCGGATGATGCTTTGCGAGCTTTTTATAAAAAGTTGTATGAGATTTTGGATTTATTTGTTCCTAAGAGATTGAGTCGGGGATCCTCATACCCTATTTGGTACACCCCAGAAATTAAGCGGCTATTAAAGTTGAAAGAGTATTATAGGAGGAAGTGGAGGAGAAGCAATAGTGCTTTCTATTCAGCGGAATATAAAAGACTGAGATGTTTGACTAAACAGAAAATCTCTGATGCGTATACTTCCTTTACTATTAGTGCTGAACAATCGCTTAGTTCTGATCCCCGTAACTTTTGGAATTATATAAGACAGAAAACAACGACCTCTCGACTTCCTGGAAAAATGATGCGTGATAAGTCCACCTACACTGATCCTGAAAAAATAGTTAATGCTTTTGCAGATCAATTCTCTGGAGTATATTCTGGTGTCTCTGCTTATAACATGGTTGATGTACACTCTACGTATCCTCCAGTATTTGTTGCCGATGTCACCGAAGAAGAGGTTCTTCATTTCCTAAAAAGGTTACCTAATAAATTTACTGCTGGTGATGATGATCTTCCTGCATTTTTCATTCGTGATTGCTGTGCAGTTTTTGCAGTTCCGCTTCATTTAATAATTAACCTATCCTTAAGCACTTGCTCGTTTCCTAAACTTTGGAAGCGCTCACGCATTGTTCCTGTATTCAAGCATGGCGAACGTACCAACATTACTGATTATCGACCAATATCGTTATTGTCCAATTTCGCTAAGGTATTTGAACAGATTATTTACAAGATGATTTATCCACAGGTTCAGTCATTTGTGTCACCATATCAGCATGGGTTTATCAAGCGTCGTTCGACCATTACCAACCTCGCGGTGGTTACTGAGGTAATTTGTGAATCTTTGGATAGGGGCGGTCAGGTAGATGTGGTATACACTGATTTTTCTAAAGCATTCGACATGATTCATCATGACGTCCTCTTGTATAAACTTAGTGCTTTTGGCTTATCTCCTAAGTTTATGAAACTATTTGCCTCTTACCTATCGGGTCGTATAAATTATGTGTACTACAACGGTTATGCGTCTATGGAGTTTACGGCTAGGTCTGGTGTTCCTCAGGGCTCAAATCTAGGCCCCCTACTATTTGTTATCTTCTTGAATGACCTTCTAGACAAATTTTCATCAAGCGTACTAGCTTATGCGGATGATCTGAAACTATTCCGACCTATTTTTGCGGACCGTGATGTTGTCAGTCTTCAGTCGGATTTGGACGTCTTGGTGGAATGGTGTAACCGTTATCAGCTAAAGATTAATGCCAATAAGTGCGGTGCAGTTAGTTTTACACGCAAGCTGTCTCCTCTTCCATCTTCTTATTATATAGAAGGTGTTCTTCTTGAGAAATTATCTACAATCAAGGATCTGGGAGTAACTTTTGACCGCAAATTGTCTTTTGTACCTCACATCGAAAATATTGCATCTTCTGCAGCGAGGATGCTTGGTTTCGTTTTGCGCACCTCGCGTGCTTTTTCTGATATCGGTGTGTACAAGACCCTATTTTCGACCTTTGTATTGTCCAAATTGGAATATGGCTCTGTAATTTGGTCGCCACATTATGTGTGTCATAGACTTATATTGGAGAGAATTCAGAGGAGATTTCTCAAATATTTGTCTCTACGCCTGGACGGATCATACCCGGATCGTGGAATGGATTACGCATCCCTGCTGCGGCGTCACAATTTTTCTGCACTAGACGTAAGAAGAGATGACCAGTGCATCAAGTTTTTGCAGAAGTTAGTGCAAGGTGAATTGGATTGTGGTTGGTTGTTGTCGCGGATCATTTTCGCGGTGCCTACGCGTGCAACACGTAGTACAAATCAGTTTTATTTGAGGAATTGCAGATCCAATGTTTTAGCCAACTCCCCGGTGCAGAGGATGTGTAAACTAACTAACAATCAATAATAGTGTAAGAGTGTTTATGTGAATTATATTTGTTTTATGGCATGTGTTATTTCTTATTTTCTTTTTCTTGTAATATTGTCCTGTAATTAATCTTTGTTGGGCAATAAAGTGAATTATTATTATTATTATTATTATATATGGGCGACAATTTACATTAATTACGGATAGGATAATTACAGTAGATGTATATGATCTAATTACATATACTAAAGCCGATTCCATTTCTTGCCGTGTTGCGAAATTTACCCGAAGGGGATGGCCAAATGCTAAAGTAGAGTAGTCGTTGAAACCTTGCTTTCAGAGGAAGCATGACTATTATATGGGGTGCAAGAGTGATAATTCCAACTACACTTTGTAATAGTGAGAATGAAGATGTTACCCAGAAGTCTTTACTGGTGGCCAGGAATAGACAAGGATATTGAAAATATAGCACATAGATTTCTTTCAGAAATTTGGGAAGTATTTTTTAATAGTGGTGGATGCTTTATTAAACAAGAGAAGCAGATGGGTGGAAGTTAAAATTGTTTCGAGTACAAACTCAGACAACACCATCACCCCATTGAGAGGATTATTCACAGTTTTCGGAATTCCAGAGGAGATAAAAAATGGCGGTGCGAGTGTAACGGCGCGGCGTGTGTTGTCGCTCCGATTATAGTCTCGATTTTGAGTGAGTCTTTAGGTGAAAGATATTTCAGTTCGGTGCCTATAGGAAAGGGTAGTGTTTTCCGTATATATTAAAAGGAAAAAATGCCGTTTACACGTGAACAAAAAGACGATTTAAAGGCAATTATTAATGAGACAATTCCTGAGCTGTTGGGAGACGAGAAATTTATAAACTCGTTAGCGAAAAAAGTTGTTGAACGGTCGGGTGTGCGTGCGTTAAGCGAAAAGGTGACACAGACGGAAACTAAACTAAATGCTCTGGTAAAGGAAAATTGTGCTGTACGGGACGATTAAGATGCATTGGAACAGTTTACGCGGCGAAGTAACATACGAATTTTTGGCGTAAAATCTGGTAATAAAGAAGAAAACACAGAAGACTTGGTAAAAGCTGGAAGAAATTTAAAATCTAGCGGTTTGTTCGTGGCGGAAGATTTAACTATCAATAGGTACAAGATTTTGAAAAAATGCAAGGAGAAGTTTGGTAATAAAAATGTTTGGACCATTGACGGGAACATACACTATCGGAAAAACGATGAAAAGCATGTTATCAAAACATTGGGGATTTTGAAAATGTTGGTGAAGATACCTAAATGATTATTTTGAAGAAGGAAACAAAAAAAAATCTTTGTGTTATAAATAAATATATGAAGCTCCTTTCTGAAGCATGTTGTCGGAGCGACTCACAATTGTTTGTTCGTTTTTTTTTATTGTATATTTATATATAAATTTTTCCAGTTCGTATATTATTCGTATCACTAAAATTGTTTATTTTGATTTTTATATTTTCTTTTTTTTAGTACATACATAGTTCTTTAGTTTTTAAGTCTGTTGGCACATGAAGCTTGCACATCTAAACATTCGGTCTTTGTTGTCGTCTCTGGGTAAGTTAAGATCTCTTGTTAGCGATGGCGACTACGACATCCTTGGCTTGAGTGAGACATGGTTGAATTCGGCAGTTCATTTAGATGTTTTGAACGTTGATGGGTTTGTGTTGGAGCGGATCGATCGTAATCATCGAAGGGGTGGTGGAGTGGCCCTTTATATTCGAGATAATATAAGGTATAGAATTGTGGGAGTCAGTGATGCTATCGAACAGATCTGGATCTCGGTAATTGTCAATAAGATGCATATAAGATGCACAACTATTCTTGTTTTATTGATATCATTGAGGATACGTTGTCGGATATTTTGCCAAGATATGATAAGGTTGTTCTGATGGGTGATATTAACATGGACATGCTGACACACTCAGTTGCGGTTAATACGTTTTTGAATATGATCACTTCGGTTGGCTTGTATCAGTTGATAGATGTGCCTACCAGAATTACTGATTCATCCCAAACTCTTATAGACGTTATTTGTGTTTCAGACGTTAACATTGTGCAGCAGAAGGGTGTCGTCAGTGTTCATGGTATTAGCGACCATGAATTAACGTATTGTGAAATTAGGTGTTCAGTTCCAAAGAAATATCCACAAATTAAAACTATTCGTTCTTTCAAAAATTTTAATTTTAATAACTTTTATTATGATTTGCAACANAATCCAAATGTTTTGGAAAATCTGGTCTAAGGAGTACCTGTGCACATTGCAAACGCGAGCTAAATGGAAGAAGAATGGAAATAATGCTAACCAAAGGGTTCGATGTGGGAATTTAGTAGTCTCGAGAGAGGAAAACGTTCCTCCACAGTGTTGGCGACTAGGACGCATCCATGAATTACATCCTGGAAAAGATGGTGCCATTCGAGTTGTCTCTGTTAAGACATCGAATGGAATTGTAACAAGAGGGATTGGAAAGGTATGTCCACTTCCCCCGGAGCAGCAACCTTTCGCGCCCCTGGAGGATGGAGAAATCTGCAACGAAATACCACCAATTGGAAATCTGTAATTATCGGCCGTTGAGTCGATAAAGCAGTGAACACGATTAGATGACAGCAAGAAAACAAGAAGTCCAGAAGAAGTCGTTGAGAACAGTAGTGAAAAAAGATTGTTTTATTTTAAAGTATAATAGAAAGAATGTGATGATGTTTTAAAATGAATAAAGGTTCATAAAGAAATATAAACAAACACTCTGTATTTCATAATGTGACTTTGCTGGTGACTTGATCAGCCAACATTTTCCTTTAGTCCGGTTACGGAGTGTGATGTTATTACTGCAATTTCTTCAATTAAAAGTAATGCTGCAGACATTAATAATCTAAATATTGCATTAATAAAACTATCATGCCCACACATTATAGATTATTTGATACATATACTTAATACTTGTATAAACCATGGCGTATTCCCAGATGCATGGAAGTGTGCTTTGGTTAAACCACTGGTGAAAATTAGCAATCCTACTGAGTTTGCTCATTTAAGGCGTAGAAAATTTATTTATAAAAATAATATTTTGCCAGAGACACAATCAGGCTTTCGGCCTGGATATAGCTGTACCAGTGCGCCACTTCATATTGTTGATGATATTGTTTCTGGGCTAGACAGGGGAAATGCGACCGTATTATGCCTTTTAGACTTTTCAAAAGCCTTTGATACCATTAATCACGATTTGTTATTTTCTATTTTGAAGTTTGTTGGTTTGGACGACATGGCAAGCGCGTTGTTACGTGATTACTTAAGAAATCGTCAGCAGAGTGTAATTGTTGAAAATGAATCCTCAGATGCTCTCTATTTGTCATCCGGTGTTCCGCAAGGCTCGGTACTTGGACCTCTTCTTTATACTATATATACGAGTCAGTTTGTTATACAGGGTCATCCACGACGACCGTCCATTAGAACTTTACAGGGTTCTGGCCAAAATACAAATTTGAAAATTCAGATTAAAGTATTATTAATTGCGTTCTCTTCGACTAAAATATTTTCAAATTTCTAGCACTTTCGGTTATACCGGAAGTCGCCACCTACTTTATTTTTTTAAATGGAACACCTTTTACATATTTGGATTTGTCTGTTTTCAAGGTTTATGAATAACGTTACTTTTTGCAATTTGATTCGGCCGTTCTCGAGTTATTCGAATTTTTCTAGAAAAATCTGCTCCAGCAGACATTTGTTAAAAAAATCAGAGAACACTCGATTTTTGGGATATCAATTTAGGATTCAGAATATGCGTAAGCAACATGATGGAGTATGTTTTGGTGCCGAGTGTGGCTGTCTAGAACGTTTGGTCACTTTACTATGGCACGTTACCTTTTCGAAACTTGGAAGTACCATAACTTCATTTCTTTAAATGGCACCCCCCATATTTTATTACTTAGTCGTCTTCGGTGTCTCATTTTACATCTTTTATATCCCATATGTCCTATACCTAACATTTATAGTTTGGGAAATAATTAGGGTTTATTGAAAAATGCACGCAAATATCGATATTTAATCTGAAATTTTTGTATTAGCCAGAACCCTGTAAAGTTCTAATGGACGGTCGTCGTGGATGACCCTGTATACGTAAAATATTGCAAGTCTCATTTTTATGCTGATGATACTTATTATATACTTATATTTACATTATTCATTTCGTCTGGACGATGTGCGATTTGCTTGTGAGCGTGTTAATGAGGATCTGCAGAGTGTGGTCGATTGCTCTAGACGTCATAGTCTTCGGATTAATCCTGCGAAAACTGAAATGATTCTCTTCTTTTATTTCCTATCTGTCTAAAAGAAAGATACAAAAGGTGCAAAATTCGTGTTTGCGGTTAATTTTCGGAATTAGACGGCGACAGCATGTTGGTCACCGGTTGCTTGATTTGAATTGGTTGAATATGTGTAATCGTCGGGCATTGCACTCAGCTTGTCTATATCACAGGATTATCACCTATCAGAAGCCTTCATATTTATATGATAAGATTACATTCCGATCTGACGTGCATACATTGAATGTAAGATTTAGAGGCACGCTGACACCCCCGATACATAGCCTTCAGCTCTTTAAAAAATCGTTTACATACCAAATTGCTAAAATATACAATGATATGCCGTTAGATGTAAGATCGTCTGCAACCGTATACACATTTAAACGGAAACACTCTAGGTATTTGTCTGGCTTAGCTTGAGGTGTCGTGGTTTATCGCATTTGCATTTTTATCTTGTCGATGACGAGGACGACATGTTATATTTTTTTTCTTCATTTGTTTATTATTTGGTTAGTGTTCAAGTGTGTGCAAGTTTATGTGTTGAGTTTTTGAGCGCTGCTGTTTTTCTTTTTGTTGTAGTGTTTTTTTTTTTGGCGTAATTGAAAAGCCGTTTTCTACCGAATTGCGCCATTTATCCAGAAAGAATGTTTTGTGATGGAAATTAAGTTTAGTTTTAAGTAAATTAGTTTAAATTAGTTTTTTAGTAAATTAAGATTAGTTTTGTGAATGTATTGATTTAATTTTTTTCTTTGTTTTTTTTTATTCTCTTTCTGGAAAATAAATGCATTATTATTATTATTATTATTATTATACTAAATGATAACGGACCTCGGAGAGAAATTTCGAAAATTCTGTATAAAAAATAAAATCAAACACAGCAGAACGCCAAGTGGCAAAGTATGAAGAAGATCATAAAATGTAAAACTGTGACGACTGAGGAATTACAATTCAGAATCGACAATATTTTGCTGAAACATCATGTGACACCTAATAGTGTAACAGGTAAAACTCCAGCGGAGTATTTATTGAAATACATTCCACATGCAAAGTTAGATTTTCTAAAACCGAGAGAAAAAAGAGAAAATGTGAAGTTAGAACACATAAAAGGACCAAAAAAGACATTTTTTGAGGGAGAAGATGTTCTAGTACATAATAAAAGAAATGGTGAGAATAGGTGGATTAAGGGAAAAGCAGCAAAAGCGGTGAGTCGCTATACATATCTTGTAAATACGGAAGGAGAAATCCGTTATGTACACGGAGAACACGGAGAATGATTTGGAGTTAAGGGCACCCATCAGAAGATTCTGATGTCCCTGAACCGGAAGCTTGTGCTGGTCCTAGTCCTGTTATTACACCACATACCCCAAAACCATATTCTGCTGCACCTCCTGTTAGAAAATCTATGCAAATTAAACGACCCCCTAATAGACTAAATTTATGAATGATGTATTTATGTAAATGTGTTTTTATTATTAATTGGGAAGAGATGTTATATAGGCAACTAAGCTAGCATAAGAGTGTGCGCCAGACAGAATGTAACAGATTGTAAAGATGTCGGTGTCCTTAAAATAAACGAGTCATTTACAGTTAGAAACATAGCGTTTATTTAACCTACAGTCGAAAACACAACACATGAGTGACATTTTGTTGCTGACATTACTCTTTTTCTTCCACTTTATTTGCTAGGCTCCTCTCAAATCCTCGTTGGTTCATCTTTATCTCATAATCATCTGTTCTTTATCTCCCACTTCATCCCTTCTTCATCTTTAACTCAAATTGCTTCTGCTATGTAATATTTTTATAGTTGTACTGAAAGAAGCGGGTTGGCTTGGGTTGGACTTCTTTTATTCTCTTCATCTGCTATCTGATTTCTACCACTTTCTACCTTTCTACAATTTCTACCACCCATCCATTACTAATCATTGCACTCGCTAGATCGTCTGGAATCTAGGCGAGCCTCTTCACTCTAGATGATATGGTTAGCCGAGAGACAAAAAAAAATTAATTAATTTTCTCGAGGGTACACAGAAATATCTCCCCTCTACTCTTCTTCTTCTTATCCTATGTGTATAAGTTTTGTCGTTCCATTTCTCTCTCATATTCTCTTTTAGTCTTCAAGATCTCGTTCACTACTTCCCTTATCTGTTAAATTCTTTATAGCACAATAAATCATCATGCTTTAATCTGCATTTTATTTCATGATGATATCTCCATTCGTTCTTGAGATAAGATTTATTGAAATTTATATTTCAACCTATAACAATAAACATGCAGAGTTCGATTTAAAAATCATAGCAAGGATGTTTATGGAAAATTAGAAATTATTTGTAGCATCTCAAGTCTTTATTAAATTTGCCTTAATCTACATTTAAATAGTTATAAACTAGTATTATTGGAGAACAGGTACAATATATTTCTTTTCATGAAGAAATTAGTTATATTCCTAGTGATATAGCATAAATCCCCAAAATATCAAAATCGGATGATTTTTCTTAATAAAATCAATTACAAGCTAAGTACTACAACTAAAGGAGAAAGACATTATGAACAAAATATATTCCTAATGCATCAAGAAATCATAATTCATACTTATTTCATATGTATATATCGCTGGTTTCTGGTAATATAGCATAAATCACAAAATGATAAAATTGAACGATTTTTCTTAATAAAATCAACTCTAACGTAAGTACTAAAATTCATGGAGAATGACGTTATGAACAAAAAATATTCCTAATGCAGCAAGAAATCATAATTAGTGATATAGCATAAGTCCCCAAAATATCAAAATACGACGATTTTTGTAATGAAATTATTTTCTAGGTTAGAAGATACCTATACTGAATAGTAAGCAACGTTGAGGTTTTTATGTTTAGTAACAGTTCCAAGGAACAACATACAAGTACTTGTTTCAAAGTAGTAGATCAAGTATCGGTTAACACATCTAATAGAAATATTATTTGCTTTAATTTTATTAAGTGTAACTATATTTGATGTTTTAAGTAATGGTTTACTTAAGGTGTATAAACTAACATCGACTTCAGTCCATTAATCATTCTCATTAGCGCGTGAATAAATTTTAGAAGCTTCTCTTCTTCGTAACAGTTAATATCCAACTTATGATAACATAAACTTTCTTGCTTTCCTTAAAGATATCTCAAGTGTTAAAATTTTTAAATGATTCAATAGAAATTGATTATTCTTACATCTGCGGCTGCTGAATGCAAAAATTCGCGAAAAAAAGGTAGCTCCACTTTAAGCGGCTTTTGACTCATGCAAAGAAAAATCAATACATTTTTTCGTGTTGATACATCCGCATCATACCAGTTTAAGTTATAAACAGCTTCCGCTACACTTCCAGCCTATTAAAAATATTTTATTATTATTTTTGTAATTTTAACAATAAAGTTTGAATTATTCATACCGCTGTAGTAAATCTTTGCCCAGCTGCATGAGCTCCAAATAACGCAGTAAAATTGATGACGATCAATAAAAAGCTAGCTAAATCCTTTCTCTATAGGTAAAAAATAAATAAGTATTAATTATTAAGGAGAGTATTGGGTTAAAATACAAACCAAAGCAAATTCTGCAGTACCCATAGTTAAACTAATTAAAACAAAAAGTTTTATTGGAAAAAGAAAACTCGTACAGAGCTTATTAGCAATTTGGTACATCCTAAAAACATCATTCAGAATTAATAAAAATGTTAAAATAAACCTTTAAATTACAATACCTGAATATCTCTTGATGATACACGACAATACGTTGCAATTTTTTGAAATTGTGGTTTTTATTTCTAGTTAATTTTACACTATTAATCAAATCGATAAGGTGTTCAATTCGCACAACTAATAATTCCCCCAAATAAGTACACAAAACCTGCACTGTCAATAAAACATTCGTTGCAATGCTAACGGAGTGTATTTGAATTAACGTTATTAATGCCATTTCCCACCGGTTTAAATCGGGAACGTAATAATCAAATAATAAGCAATATTTGATGTTTTTAAATTTAGCGCAATCATTCTCAATCAAAATAGAGAATATAATAAAATGCGCGACAACAAACCCTCCATATCGAATTGTTTTTAATATAATTTTAACAAATTTGTCGACAACTTCGCTTCGTTCTGGTATTCCATACTCACTAAAATTACTCATTAAGTCAGTAATTTCGATTAAATAAAATCGATTCCGAAATAATAGAATGTTGAAACATAGAAGTAATCCTGCTATCGAATTAAACTCCGTGTGAAATAAGAATTTAGCGAAATTCGCTTTATAATCTAAACAAATTAAAGAGTAGTCATTAATTTTAATTTATTAATTAATTCAGAATACTCACTTATAATTTCTGTTGTTAAGGGATAAATCATCCAAATTATATTCACAACAAACAAATATGTTGGCCCAAGTCCCCGAAATCCTTGCGAGGTGGGCCAACACTGATATTTGCGTAAGTTTTGTTCTATAAGGAAAAAACCGAGTGTTTTCGCCATGTTGGTTGCAACTAAACTGAAACTAGTAACTAAATGAAAAGATAGTATTGAACGTATACGTTGATTGAGTATTAAAAATTTTATTGTGAGAATTGATTTACATTTTTTAATGAAGATTTCACGTGCGTCGTTATTATATCTCCTTCGGTTGCTTTTGTCCTTACGGTGAAATACTTTTCTATGTGTATTATTAATATATACCAATAGGGTCAATAGTGACCCAATATTCTTGTGTAAAAGACATAACAACGATTATTAACCATACCCAAATTCAAATAGAGGCTTTAACAAATGCGTCGTGACGCATACTAACGACAAATACGGTCTAATTGATTATTCAGAGTAGTTTTCATAGTGCTTGGTCATTATAAATAATTAAGATTTGATTTAAAAATCAACTAATTGTATTTTTGTACTGGTTTAATATAAAAATAAAAAAAAAACTAATCAGTCATCTTCAGAAGCGCTACAAATTTACAATAAAATGATAATAAAAGTTGTTATATAATTATGAAATAAAGTTAACTTACTTGTTGTAATAAAAGATATGGCTTTCAAAAAACTTCGCATGCGGAAAAACGTGGTTGGGTAAAATGGTTGAAAATTGCAAGAGGTGATTACTTTTTGTGAGTTCGAGAAAACCTTGCTTAAATTTACAAATGCGCATGTGTTGAAATTTGGAAAATAATATAATATTATATATAGGGTGTTCAGAAAAAATCGAATCATTCCTGCAAGCATTAGAAATAATGAAAAAATAATGAAAAACAGATGAAAATGAATTTTCATCATAATAATTTTTTTTGTTTATAAACAATTAAAAATATAATGTATGCATTTAAATGTTTATGTAAAAATTTTAATTTGAAAAAATCTCATTAAAAGACATAATAAGGAAAAGTTTTCCAGGCGATAAGTATTAAGATAATGTTTAATGTTTATTTATTTGCCAAAAAAAAGTTTTTGGACAGACGTCATACAAAATACATATGTATACTTCAACAATAAGTATGTAATACAGTAATTAACTAATACAGTTCGGTCATACGGTGGGCATTACTTAAAAATTCTTCTATCGAGTAAACCGGCCTCAGACACCAAAAAGTGTTTAACATGATTTTTAAAACGCGCGGCGTTCATGTTCTTTATGCAATCCGGTAGTTTTGTTATACAGTTTTGTACATTCGTAGTCCACACCTTGCAGGGTCACCTAAAGACGGTGATACGGAACTAGTGATGGGCTCAATCGAATGACCATAATCGATTAACCAATAAAATTATACACGATCATTCGAGATATCGATTATTCTAAAAAATAATAGATTGTAAAATAATCGAATGAAATAATCGATTATAATAAAATAACCGAATGAAATAATCAAATAAAATAATCGATTATTTTTCTATTCGATTATTTTTTCATTCGATGTTGAAAGTTAAAATAAAATTCTATATAAAATATTGACTGGCATGCTACTTCAGGACTGTTTTGGGAATTTACCAACTTCTCTGAATGTCTCATTTTAATATTTAAATTAAATAGACCCTCAAATGATTAGTCGAATCCACGTTTTATGTTTGTATTCATTACTAGTTGTTTAATATGAAGTAAAAAAAGAATGATTATTTGATTCCCCATGATAATATGGAGGATGGTCAGTCAAAATACATATTTCAAAGAAAATATTTATTGCACTACATATTACTATTTAAAAACATGATTTCGTTGATCATATTGCTGCTTAACCTACTCCTTTTGTCCTTTGTTAACTCGCCTGCTTTTGAGAATACCCTCTTAGATGGCACGCAGAGGTACTTATTTGCAAGTTTATATAGTTCCGGGAAGATCTCCTTCTTGGACTCCCAAAAGGTGATCCGGGAATATTGGACATTGCTGCTGACAACGGAACTTTTAATACCTCTATTCTTTGCATCATCGCCAAGCAAGAATTCCATCTTGTTGAAACGTCCTGTTTCATTTTTAGCAGAGGAAGTTTCATTTGATCCTGCATTTTGGTCAGTTCACCAGATGTTACAGTGCTTTTTTTAAAGTGCCCCACAATATTTTTGCATTTCTCGAGCAATTGCTGTAGATCTGCATGTTTGAGGGCGTCCATGGTACATAGGTTCAGCGTATGTGCTATGCAGGGTTGGTGAGTCTTATTGAGATGAACAGTGATAGCGTTTCTCATATTTGAAGCGTTATCTGTTACAACTTTTTCAAAGATATCCCAACAAAATTGTTTTGTTTCCAGTAGGTAACTGTTCAATTGGCTTCCGTTTATATAATGAGCAGTAACTGCCAAAAATGCTTTCGTAGATGATGATGTCCATATATCTGTTGTTATAGACAAATTTGCGACAAATTTAACTCATTTTTAACCTTAGTCAACGTCGCTGTATATATATTTGGTATCAGGGAAGTTGTAATTTTTTTTCGACTTGGTAAGTCATAATGCGGATTAAGTTTATTTGTATATTTTATGAACCACTTATTTTAAACAATGGATAAGGACTGAAAATCAGAAACTATCATTTCAACTAAACTTTGATCTATTTCGGTTTGCTCATTTTCCGAAATATTATATGTTTGTGTTTTTTCGTAAAGAACAAGTTGACGTTTACGTTTGGAAGGCGGTGGGTGTATTATAGAATGTTGTGAGGAAGTTTCAGTTATAGAAGTTGACGGGAGTGTACCTCGCATTTCTTCGCATGATGTATCTTCAGTAGGTTTAGATTTTTGTAATAATAAGGCTGGGTGCTTTCGTTTTAGGTGTTCACTTAAATTTGTAGTATTGCCAAAGAATTTAAATTCTCGCTTACATTCACTACACATTGAGACATCTCCTCTTCGTACAAAATGATTCCAGACGAAGGATCTCTTTGCAGTTGCAAAACAACACAACAATACTGCCGAGTAGTTTGGACTCACATGGTCGTGCCAGGTGAGATGATTGTTCAACTTCAAGCCAAGAAAGTTCACCACGTAATGGTTTCCTTTCGTGAGAAAGTTAATTTTTTGATTCTTTTTATCATCGAGGATGAGCTTGTTCGCTCGCAACCAATCAGACGCGTCTTCTAAGACATCGTTAGTTCTCAATTGTGTTTCTTCTCTCGATTTCCCCTTTACTACGAAAGACGTATCATCCGCATATAGATACGTTTCTGAGATTTTATGTTTCGAGCAAGATCGTTCATATACAGTATAAATAAGATCGGTCCCAGAATTGATACTTGGGGTACACCGTATCTATTGTTTTTCACATCGGATATTGCACCATTCCAAGCGACATATTGTGTTCTGTTACTCAGATACGATTTCATTAGACTTAGTATTGATCCCCTTAAGTCGTAAAAGACGAGTTTATCCAGTAATAGATTATAGTCCACCGTGTCAAAAGCTTTTAAAACACTGGAAGGAGGGCAGTCGGTCTATAATTTGAGCAATCGTTGTCATCTCCTTTTTTGTAGATTGGTACGATCCTGGCATGTTTCATTCTTTCGGGAAAAACTCTCTCTTCAATACATTTGTTTAAAACCATACAAAGCGGTTCAAAGATTTCTTTCGCAACTTTGTTTACAACAGCTGTTGAATGTCCATAAACTCTTCGTTCTTTTTGGTTTTTAAATGATTAATTATATTTATTATCTCGCCTTTGGTACAAGGGTTAAAGTAAAGACTTTTCGAAAAAATTCTTGCTGTATTCTTTACATAAACGTTGGAACTCATCGTTGCCGGATTTAAACCCTTTACCAGTTTCTCAACTTCTTCAGCGTAGTAGTTACTAAAGTTTTGCGCAGTTAAATTCGTTCCTACTCCTTTTTGTGCATGATGATAGGATCGTTCCTCATTAATAACCTCCCGCATCTTTTTTTGTTTCTCGTGTAACGTTTTTTCTTTTCGCTCTCTAAGAGATCAAAGTACTTTTGCTTACATTGAGCATATTTGTCATAGGATGCTCTGGACCTAGTTATAGAGGCCAGCCAACCTAAAAGATCTAGTGTGTCCCTTTGATTTCTAGTCTCCTTAGACATATAAATTGTTTTAAATCTAGTATGCACAGAATATATTATGAAAAACATCATACAACTCACCTGCCTTCTCAGATTTCAGGAGATACTGCCAATCCACCTTTGAAAGAATAATTTAAAAAAAGTGAGTGTTCTTATCGTTAT